TGGTTTTACAATGACCAGGTCAAAGGGTTTTAAAGGTTCTTAAAAATTGCCATTACAACTTCTAGCATCATGCGCTGAATGAGTGACATAGTTTGCATGTCTCTCTTCCTACAGGGCATTGATTATTATTATATACATTGTTAATGTCATTTTAAAACAACTACAGTTAAACCAGAGGGTAACAAAGACCAGTTTAAAACAATAACTAAATGAGACAAATTAAGATTTTTAAATTGCCCAAAACATCAGCAGCCAGGGCATCCTGAAAAACATCAGATGCCCTCAGACTGCGACAGACAGATTGTTTAAGATAGACAGAAAGCACTTGAAGAGGATTCCTCTTAGCTTAATTAACTAAGTCCGATCTTCTCCTGCTAACCTACTTGACCGGCCTCACAACTTCATCAGATTATTCCTGCCAGGTACAGACGGACAAACATAACACACTAATCCCAGAGGGTAAATATTCAAGCAGTCGGTTCAGAGAAGCGTCACCAGACCAAAAAGAACCAACGCAGGCCTATTACCTCGGACCTCTTTGGACTGCTGTCAAATGTTCTACCGTCAAATGTTCTACCATCTGCCAGAGGCTTAAAGGGCATTACTGTTCCCCAAAGGTAAAAACACTTCATACAATGTACAAATTTTACCTGATACTCAAGTCTTAAGAATGGAAAAAAAGTGCAGAAATTGCATTATCTTTGAAACATGTGTGACTTCATTGGGATTGTTTTACTAAAATAGACTGAATATGAATTATATTGTTTGGGAAACTGCTATAATACATAAAATATATAGATTTGGAAATCAGAAGCTTAATTGTTTGCCAATGCAAGTGGGGAAGCTGCACAATCAATATATTGTTAATAATCTCATGTAGGAAGTGTAAATGTAATTTATGACAGGGTTCAACACAGGCTATAGGCTGTAAAATACATATTTATTCTTTTTATCACAACCACCTCAGATGTTTCACCTGTTAAAGAAAGACCTTTGTAGTATTAACTTCCACACACACATTTGGCACATGATCTAATGTTTTTTCCCCCCACTGTCATATATTCAAAGATTGCATTTACACAGTGGTTAATAAACTACAGACATCTTTCAAGGTTTAATAGTCTCAGAGGCAGAGAAGAGAGGACTTGAAATGTAAAAATGAAATATGGACACAAACATGTAGGAAAAACAAAATATTTTATTTGATTCATTTAATTCATCTAACAGTTTTCTCCATAGTGCAAATACAGTGCAACAATGACTGTATTTCTGCCTGCAAATAAATAAAACTTTCTTAAAAATAAATACCAACCACACAACTCAGCAGTTTGAGCACACTCAGAATTATCTCTCAATAAGCGCCAGTGGATTTTTATCGGTCCAATGGACCTTTGAGACCATCACAAAAAGAAAAAGACGAATTCAAACAAGGCAGGTCCATTAACCAAACACTTACCAGGCTCTGTGCACAGGAAAAAAAAAAAAAACAAACAACCTCCACAAGGCATTACACAAAACAAAACACATATTTGCACTCCGCTTTGTCTTTTTACTGACACTGATTTCACTAACTACATTACAGTATTATTGCAAGCTAGGCTTTATTTCTCCATTTTTAAGCATTAGTACCCACTCAGCTCTCTGTTTAAAGGAAGAGTGACATTTTGGGAAATACACCGTCTCAGTTAGACAAGAAGATCGAAAACCATTTTCATGCGTGTACCGCACATATGCTAAAGCCAGCAGTCAGTTAGCTTAGCTTAGCATAAACACTGGAAACAGGGTAATGAGCTAGCTTGGTTGTGTCCAAAATGTACCTACCGTACAATAAAGCTCACTAATAAATTAACACTCTCCATTTTTTTCTTCAATACACAATCTGATCAGACTGTTCATCGATTAAAGGTAAGCATACATTCACAAAGCAATAATGCATCTCTCTGACTGAACAGTCTCAAACTGACAAACCAAGGCTGTAAAAAATCCTGAAGGCCAAGAACAAACCAGTGGAAAGTATAATCCATCCCTAATACTGCCAATGTTTTGAGAATTGCAAGAGGATGAAAAAACATTAAAATAGTAGAAAGGAGAGGGAGAAAGTGCAACTAAAGATTAAAATATAAATCTCCATTACGACCGCAACTAACAATTATTTTCAATTAGTTATTGTTTGGTCTGTAAAATCTCAAAACAGTGAAAGGGATTAAACAAATAATGTTTCAACTCTGATCTAAACGTCACATTTCCACTGTCTTGGAGAGCTACAGTTGTAACACCACCGTTAACCTGTTGAGGAAAAATGCTAGATGGAAAATAAGGCAAAATATACAAGAGTTCATCTGTACTGATATTCAGTTCTGCTCTCAGCTTTCAGAGGGAATACAAACAAACATCATCATGACTAACCAAGAAGAAATCTTGAGCCCCCTGGGGCTGAAAGTGATACCTCTTCAAATCTGAAGATACTAACAAGAAAAAGCCTTTTCCCCATTCAGTTATTTACCAAATAATTTCTTAAGTGGTTTTAACCTCCAGAGGGAGTTGGGACACGACGGGCTGATCAGTCTGGGTTTGTGTTGGGTCGACCTGTCAGCTCTGAGGTTACTGCGGGGTTGAGACGGCACCAGGTGAATCCCAGTCAGCTGACCATCTGTTTCACACCTCGTTTGTTAACCGTCCAGCTTAAGAAGAGTTTCCTGGCAGCAGAAAGAAGACATGGCTTAGTCAACATACAGCAAACTCCATAAACCTGTAACCTGACAGGAGCAGGTCGAGCTGTGTGTATCTGGGAAAGCTAACAGTGCGTGTTTCTACACAAAAGCTGAGACACATTTCAACCACAAGTAGCTTATAAACAGCCCGACTGATAATCAAATCAACATGCTTTATAGAGCATCTTTCATACAAACATGCAGCCCAAGACAAAAAGTGTCACAAAGAAAACCTGAAACATAAAACAAAATGAACAACATAATAAATTGAGATAAGAGATAAGAGATAGAGATAGAGATAGAGATAGAGATTAAGATAGAGAGATAGAGAGAGATAGTATTATTATATACATATATATACTATACATATTACATTATTAATATATAAATATTAATATACACATATTATTATATATATTATATATTATAATACTATAAATATATACAAATATATACATATAATACATATATAAATATACTATATATATATATAATAATATAATAATTATTAAATTATTAGGTTAATATACTATATATATACATATAATTAATTAATATAATATAATTACATAATATATATATAATATATTAATATTTAACCCTGCCGTTAACTCATCCCCGCATAACCTCAGAGCTGTAACAGGTCGACCCAAACACAAAACCCAGACTATCAGCCCTTCTTGGCCCAAAACTCTAACCTTCGGAGTTAAAACCACTTAAGAATAAATATGTAAAAAAACTGAATTGAAAATAGACTTCTGTTAGTATCTCAATATTTTGAAAGATGTTTTCACCAGCCCCAGGCTTCAAATCGTTCATTGTTAGTCAATGATGAGTTGTGACCCCCGGAAATCTGAGAGCAGAAACTGAATATCTATAGACAGAGAACCGATAAAGCCTTATCCACAGCATGATCCAACAGAAAACTGAGTGAGTAACAACTTAAGCCTCCTAAAGCAATGAAAGTGTGATCTAAGACAGATGAAACTAATTACCCTACCACTTGAGATACAGATATCCAAACAAACAATGAAAATAAAGTATGTAACGTACGAAGAAAAAACTAAGCACTCCCCCCTCACATAAACACCTCAGCAACCAAAACATAACTAGGTAAATGAAATTCCTACTTACTACCAATAACAAGCGCCTATGCTAATAACCACAAACACAATTATAGTCTATATAGTTTAAAATGTGTTAGATGAATATGAATATCTAGTAATATGCTTCTCTTGAAGGCTATGAACGAGTGCCAATTGCACAAAAAGTCACACTGAAAGTGTGTCGTGACATCCAAAAATATACCAATACAATATAACAATATCCTCTAACTCTTGCCTCTTGATGCGAGACAATTATATAGCATTAGATGGGATACGCGAAACACATAGGTTGACCTGAGCGTGGTATCGGCTATCGTATTGGCACAGGAGAGAAATCCATATACGATCACGAAGAGAAGAGAACTGAGACGCGGCTGAATCGTCTCAACAGGAATACATAAAAGACAAAGCACATGGAACTGGGTACAGCAACACAAAACTTCTATTGCGAAAGTTGGAATGAAAAACAATAACATGACTTGTACATCTAAACTTTTTTATAACAAACACCATAACAAAACATCAATCAAACACCACAAACATTCTCTGAAGCAGAGAACAAAAAAATGAATCACCCTATCCGTTAATGGACTAAAAAAAAAAGCTCCGCAAACAATTACAAAATAGGCGAATGGCCAAAACAGACATAGACAATCAAAAAAACATAAAATAAATAAA